GCCTTTGGCCCGGAGCGGGTAGCATGAGCCAAGCATACAATGAGATTCCTGGGGGAACAATTGACAAAAGCAACATTGACACCAACAAACAGCGCGCAGAAGTATGGCAACCAATCAACCGTCTTTGCAACCAGAACAAAACCAACATTGAACACAATCATGGAACATCATTGCATCCCCCAACGTTCCAAATGCAGGATACGCAAACACATGCTTGAGCCCACAAACGTGCCAAAAGAGAATGACAAACAGCAGAGGGGCTTTGTAGGGAAGGGTTGGCTGGCTTTCCAAGCTGGTTCTGCTTGTTAGACACAAACATGAACCTTTTGACAAGATTGGATGGTTTTTGTGTGGTGCCCGGAACAATCGATCCGGACCCTGCAAAACCGCGAACGACCATGCACTGTGGTGCACGTTCGACACCTGTCTGTTTGAAAACGGGATCTGCATACATTCTGAGCAAAGTAGGATATAGCTCTCCTAGCACACTCTCGCTCGCACACAGACACACAGACACACAGACACACAGGCACACAGGCACACAGGCACACAGGCACACAGGCACACAGACACACAGACACACAGACACACAGACACACAGACACACAAACACATACACACACACACAGACACAGACACAGACACAGACACAGACACAGACACAGACACAGACACAGACACAGACACAGACACAGACACAGACACAGACACAGACACAGACACAGACACAGACACAGACACAGACACAGACACAGACACAGACACAGACACAGACACAGACACAGACACAGACACAGACACAGACACAGACACAGACACAGACACAGACACAGACACAGACACAGACACAGACACAGACACAGACACAGACACAGACACAGACACAGACACAGACACAGACACAGACACAGACACAGACACAGACACAGACACAGACACAGACACAGACACAGACACAGACACAGACACAGACACAGACACAGACACAGACACAGACACAGACACACAGACACACACCCACACGCACACGCACACGCACACGCACACGCACACGCACACGCACACGCACACGCACGCACACGCACTCTCGCACTCTCGCACTCTCGCACACTCGCACACTCGCACACGCGCACACGCGCACACGCGCACACGCGCACACGCGCACACGCGCACACGCGCACACGCGCACACGCGCACACGCGCACACGCGCACACGCGCCCACGCGCCCACGCACCCACGCACCCACGCACCCACGCACCCACGCACCCACGCACCCACGCACCCACGCACCCACGCACCCACGCACCCACGCACCCACGCACCCACGCACCCACGCACCCACGCACCCACGCACCCACGCACCCACGCACCCACGCACCCACGCACCCACGCACCCACACACACACACACACACACACACACACACGCCACAAAAGGCCCCAAAAGGGTGCCAACTCAGTGGGAAGCCTCGGAGATCAACGAAAATACGCAAACACGCTCGAACAAATGCAACACAGCAACCTTGAAAACACTAAAAGGGAAAGTCCATCACCACCTGTACAGCAGCTGGAAGTGGTCCCAACTTCAGGTTAGAGCAACCTACGAGTGAAATTCACGGGCGGCAACCAGCCTACATCGAGGGCGTATGAGGCACAACCATGTATTGACAGACATCAAATGAAACAACTCAATCGAACTAGATTCTCCCTAGCCACAAAACAGTGGGTGACCGTGGACCCACAAGATCTGTTTGGAAATTACCCAGAAACCCAAACAGGACACCTCCTCCACAAAGGCCCTGAGCAAAAACAATTCGCAAGCACAACTCCGAGCAAATCAAACTGATTTGGCCCCAGAGGAGAGGCATGCTCCTCTCATTCCACAGCACCTTCGCTTTGCCGGGCTCCGGGCGACGCAGGAGATGACTGGTGCCTTAGGCACGCGCTTACAACGATTCAGGGGTAACTATGCGCGACCCGGCGTTTGGTAGACTTGGACCAGGACCTTTGTTTAAGGGAAAACAATCACCAACCTCCTGGTTTTGGAGGGTTTGTTGGGTCTGGTTAAGACGAGTTGTGTGCAAGACCAAACCCCACTGCCTTCAAAGGGGAACCAGGATGGGTCTAACAGCCAGATTTCGCCGCTGTGTACAGGGTGGGGGGGGGGGGGGGGTATGATGTTTGTCAGTTCTGACCCATTTTCCCAAGATCCCAACCTGGTGTTTGGATTTCATGGGGGCTGGGGGGGAGGGAGGGGAGGGAGCCCTAATAAGGCCTTATTTGGGGCTTATTGAGGCTCCCTCCCCCCCCTCCCTGCCCCCCGGCCCCCATGAGGATTGGAACCCTCGCAGAACATTGGAAACCCCAAGCTGCAAGATATGCTTCCCAACCCTGAGCCCGGATAGTACACTTGTTCAAGAGGACGTGAAAAACTTCGGTTGTCGCTGAATGTTGCACATTTGTTTTGGGTTGTCCCCCACGTGCTCCCACTACTTCGAACACCAGTCAGTGGATAAGCCCCTGGCTCATCTTCATTGAGGGGGTGCAACCAATTCTAGAGGGGATCCGGATCACTTTGGGGGGGGGGCAAGTGCACCCCCTTGAGTCCAGGGTCAAAAAGACGCGGCTAAGAGACACGATCTTTCGGGGCTGAGGAAGAGGTTGTTGGATTTAGCCACTTCTTGCGCACCTTGCCTGCATAGCATCCATGGAGACAAGCAATATTCGCAACACAATTCATAACTCAGCGGCAACCCAATGTTTCCCATGAACTTATTTGGAACTTTGCCTCACCTTCTGTGTTGTTTCTTCAGGTCCCGGCATAGTGTGATGCTCTGTTTTCTTGCGAGAGGACCCAGTTGACGGATACATGTTTGATTGGACTTTGATCCGGGCGTGTCCCTCTAAAGAAGGGATCCCTTCATGAGGATCGGGATTTTCACAAACCCCGGTTGATTGATAGGGCTGTCCCGTTTGAGGTGGGATCCGAATCTCTTTTGGTGGAAACACCAAACACCTCGCCCGATCATCCACAAGGTTGATTACTCTGGGTCAATAATTATGCGAAATGCGCTCAACTGCAAAACTGAACCGCAGCAACATATCTGCAAATTCCACAACCATTCGAACACCTTGAATAAGACCCGGATCCCCAAATGAAGGACCTACATCATTGGCACTCGTTTTAGCCCCTGATCAGTGGAATCGCTCAAAACCCGGAAACTATGTAACATAGGCTGATTTATAGTGCAGCCCCATGTGCGCGCGTTTGGGGAACATGTCAAGGAGGCCAAGTGTCATATTCAATGCTTGGCTCGCTGCTTTTCCGCGTCTCCTGGTGGATGTTGAAGTCAGGCCTTGCCGGCCGCAAACGCGCGAAGCGCTAGCTGCAGCACTCAAATGCTCGCCTAAAGTAGGATTCTGTGGGCCCCGAGCCTTGCACATATAGCAAAATGTTGTAGGTCTTTTCTCTTCTTCCCTGCTCTCTTCACTTCCAGTAAGTGTTACTCAAAACCCCCCACAATGTGAAGGGCCGCATGACCCCAAATCAATCCCATGTCGAACCGGAATTAAAGCTTGTGACTTCGGACGAGGCATGTTACCCTTCTTCACCGGGTTACTCAAAGAGGAGGCATTTGGACGCTGGAGGAACCAAGGAATTTCCTACCCGTGCGTCTTGACAACCTGTTCAAGGCTTGGAGAAACCCTGCCAAAAAAAGTGGCCCCAGCTTTGCACTGCCTCCGTCATTTCTGGAACAACATCCATGTTTCGCAACGCGGTTGAGCACCCAAGCAGTGTCAACGCTTGGCAGTTGATGTTTCAAATTGCGACTTGTATGCACAACCTGGCATCATCCGCGTGGCATGAGCCGTCATTGGCGAACTCCAAGCTTTTGCCACAATAATGCTGGATGAGTATTGTGACCAGGGGTTGAACTTGTCCCCTTTCTTATACAGTACTCAATCTTCCTTGATATGTTTCCACCAGGAATGATTCAACCAATAGAACTTCTCATGATACCTTGTCTTCCATGTACGTGTGCCGTGTTCCCACCCTGCCCTGCGGTGTTGAAACGCATCCAAGCGGCTTCGTCATATCCACATGTTCAAGCCATCCTGCACAGCCAACTCGCCAGGCCACTGACAAACACTGACAAGCATGCGGTGAGTCGCTGCCTTTTCCCATGAACCCCAGCCGGCAAGGCCATGATTACATATATATATATATGTATATATACACACTGAATACACACAAGGTAATTACCATTTATGTGGGGGTGTATGTCCTGTCCATCAGTCATCTTCAAGGTGGTCCCCATGAAAACTCATGGCCACATGGGTCCAATCCAGTGAGCCGTTATGATGTGGCTGAAGCGAACTGTTGGCCATGATTTGGATCATGATTCCCTCAATACTTGGCCCAACTCTGCGGTACAGCACAAAGCATATTGGCAGATTCTGCTTCTACTTGCTTACCCGCAAGTTTTTAAAGATACTTTCTGAGGAGAACCCAGAAGAAGAACCCTTACACCAGCCCAACCCCAAGTAGAGTCTTCAGACCATGGCACGGGTAGGCCATGCGCCTGGGAACAGCAAAGCCCACGCCTTTTTTCCGAGCTGAAGTCAGATCTTTCGCAGAACCATTTCAAAGGTGCAAGCGCTTGCGTCAGCGGGTGCGCGCAAAACAGTGCAAAATTCACTGGCTTCGGCGAAGCACAAACTGGCACGCAAGGAAATGTTGCCAAAGCCAGTGGAAGTGCAAATTATTACCGGCCTTGGGCGGCAACAAGTTACCATGCCAAGGCCTATGCAATGCGCTAAAAGCGGGCCCTGGACACCAAAAAGCGCCCCCTTGAGCGCTTTCGTATCCGCCCTTTGGACGACGGCGTCGTTCTCCGGCTAGGATTTGGCCCTCTCATAATTTAAACATGCTCAAACACTTCGTCTTCAAACAACCTCCTGCGTGCGAAGCCAAATCCCAGTCTCACCAGAGTCGGCCGCTAGGCCAACATCACGTCCCGGGCCTCCTCAGGTGGCCTGCAGTAAATGGCGTAGAGGACCAGCTGAGCAGCCCCTCGCAGGGCACAGCCTCCTTTTGACTGGCTGGGGATTCCAAATAAAAACCAACCTTTGAATGGGCTGATCAACCTTCATTCCTTTTGGAAACCAGTAAGTGGGGACTGGTCAATGGGTTTACCATTCAAGTTGCTGGGTGAAACACACATCATGCTTTGTGAAGCATGCCACTCCTGGACCCCGAAATGGATTCTGGTGCGCCACGGTCAAGACTTGCCATGCCCTCTATGGACGTGTTGAATTCAACAGAGAGTGCCCAGGTGTTTTGGTGAGTTTGTTGTAGACAACCCCAATGGATCACAGACTGCTGGAAATTTTGACCGGAGGACAACAGGACCTCCCTGCCCAGTTCCATTGGAAAGGGGTAGAGAAAGCCCGGCACTAGGGTACCAAGCATTTGTGCAAGCTCTGAGGCCTTCAAACAGTCGACCCCCTGTTGGTTGCTGGCCAAAGGGAAATTATATAGAACCCAACCAAAAAAAATGGGGGGGCCCGCTATTTTGAGAAACCCCCAAATAGACTTCCGTACTCTCAGCCTGATTTGCTTTATGGCCTCATTTGGGAGCTTGACCGTGGCCTAAAGATACCTAAAGCCTAAACAAAGGGGTGGTTCTCGAAATAGAGGTCTCCCAAAAAAGCTGGTGTCTTTTGGGATTCCCTCGGGGGACGACCAAAATGGGTGGCTGTTCTTTTGGTTTCCCTTTAAGCGGAAACGAGGTAACTGTGTACCCGTAAACAAAGCACGAATCCAATTTGAGCTTGTAAAGCCGCGCCCAGTAGGATGCCCAGTGCGTTGGGAATCAGCACGGCGATGTTGTCGATGAGCACCGCTTGCGCACCTCAGTCACGGCTGTCGCCCGTACTGACACTTGTGCACGGCTCGGCATTCACGACTCTCGACGCCCACTCATTTTCAGTCGTGGGTATGAACGACCACTCGAGAGTATACTCCCAGTTCCAACAAAGATCCTTTCTGTGATACCGATTCGTGGTTGATTCCCATCCCTGTGGATGGGCCAAGCACACGAGCCATCATGGATGAAACCCTGTGAATGCCGGAAAAAACCTATGCACTGGTGCGGGAGTTTCTAGTTCGCTCACTTGGGAGGTGCGGGAAGGAAAGCTAGCCAGCCCAACGACATGTGTGTCCCAGTGGTTAAACCTTAAATGAACACCCAGAAAGTTTTTAAGACCCGAACTTGGGCCAGGTCCTAATGAAAAGGCTCTTTAGCCGCAAACCTGTGGACGAGATTCTGGGAATGTGCTGGTGATGTGAGGTGGGGGGGGTACCAGGGGAAGTCGAATCGAACCCTTCGCGGATGGGGCCCGTAGTAAAGAACTGGTTTCAGAATCAATCCGAATCAGCACCCCTTCCTCGTCCCCCCAAGATTGAAAACAACTCTCTCAAGCCGCCCCCTTCAATGCTAGCATAGCTAGCTTGCGTGAACCTGGGAAATTCCTGAAAGGATTTCCTGTATCAAAAGGAGATTTTGGCTGTACCATTCGGACAGGCGAATTCGAAGTCGAATTCGCGAATCTGCAGCCTCTGGGACCTGAGAGAGATCCATGACCAATGCGGAGCCTGTCGGTTACACCAGCGTGAAAGTACCATAGGTATCTCGAGGATGAAGCCCAAATGGGACGGTGCTATGTACTTGCACCTAGTAACCTGCTTACAGCTTGACTAAACATAGACCAAAACTGGGAACCAGAAGGGCATGTGCAAGAATTGGGGGACCTCTGTTTTGGGTTGTTTTCCTCTTGGCTTCCCTTTGAACCAACCCCCTTGGTTACGCTCAAAACACACACGGGTCCAAAGGTGGGCATCGGACACTTCTGCTAAAGCGGCATCCTCACTATCCTCTCTATAGTTGAAATCGGAAGCAACCGCAAAGAAATTGTGCTTTGCAAAAGACCCAGTAGCTTCATTCAAACCACCCTGAAGATTTGTGCAAGCTGGGAGTCAGTCTGCAGGGTTGGTCCAACAAACGTCTTGCAAGTGTTGAACGTTCCCTGGGAAGGACACACAATGCCAATCTTCTACCCTTGTTGCTTGGTCATTGTTTTGAGGTTCGGAGCAACCCCGATATTGCTTGGCGAAATCCGTGAAATGATCCATGATCAAACTGCATTCTTTCAAACTGGAGGCAGCTTCCGCAACACGCGCGACTCTCATGTGTGCAATGTTTCCAGATCAAAAGGCCACCTGACGCATCTTGTACCTTCAACAAACGACTAGCAGAAAGAACAACACACAAGCAAACACAGCCGCGCACGCACACACACACAGAGACACACACATAAACACATACACACATCGACACGCACAGACGCACAGAGACACACACACAGACAGACAGGCAGCCAGGCAGGCAAACAGACAAACAAGCAAACAAGCAAACAAGCAAACAAGCAAACAAGCAAGCACGCAAACAAGCAAACACGCAGACAAGCAAGCAAGCAAACAAGCGAACAAGCGAACAAGCGAACAGACCAAGAGACAAACAAACAGACAGACAGACAATCAATCAAACAAACAAACAAACAAACAAACAAAACAAACAAACAAGCAAGTAAGCAAGCAAACAACAAAACAAACACACAACCAAACAAACACACAAACAAACAAACAAACAAACAAACAAACAAACAAACAAACAAACACACAAACAAACAAACAAACAAACAAACAAACAAACAAACAAACAAACAAACAAACAAACAAACAAACAAACAAACATTAACAACCATTAACAACCATTAACAAACATTAACAAACATTAACAAACATTAACAAACATTAACAACCATTAACAAACATTAACAAACATTAACAAACATTAACAAATATTAACAAACATTAACAAACATTAACAAACATTAACAAACATTAACACACATTAACACACATTAACAAACATTAACAACCATTAACAAACATTAACAAACATTAACAAACATTAACACACATTAACACACATTAACAAACATTAAGAAACATTAACAAACATTAACAAACATTAACAAACATTAGCAAACATTAACAACCATTAACACACATTAACAAACATTAACACACATTAACAAACATTAACAAACATTAACAACCATTAACACACATTAACAAACATTAACACACATTAACAAACATTAACAAACATTAACACACATTAACACACATTAACAAACACTAACACACATTAACAAACATTAACAAACATTAACAAACATTAACAAACAAACAAACAAACAACGCTCAGACGTCCTGTAAACGCGCGTTTCTTTTCGTTCTTTCCCCCCTGTAATGGCCGCAAAAACGCGCAAATCATAAGGTTTTTCACAGGTTTCGAGCAAGTCCAGCAAAGGGTGGGCCGGATGTCCGAGTGGAACTGCAAGAGCACGGCCTATCCTTAGGTGACTCCAAATCAAAACCTGTTATTTAAATGTGGCCGGCATGGATGCAGTGCTGCGCGGGTGCACCTGAACGGGTGTTCTTACCATTCGGCGGGCATGGAATCCGTGCTGCGCGGGTGCACTTGAACGGGTGTTCTTACCATTTGGCTGGCATGGATGCAGTGCTGCGCGGGTGCACTTGAACGGGTGTTCTTACCATTTGGCTGGCATGGATGCAGTGCTGCGCGGGTGCACTTGAACGGGTGTTCTTACCATTTGGCTGGCATGGATGCAGTGCTGCGCGGGTGCACTTGAACGGGTGTTCTTACCATTTGGCTGGCATGGATGCAGTGCTGCGCGGGTGCACTTGAACGGGTGTTCTTACCATTTGGCTGGCATGGATGCAGTGCTGCGCGGGTGCACTTGAACGGGTGTTCTTACCATTTGGCTGGCATGGATGCAGTGCTGCGCGGGTGCACTTGAACGGGTGTTCTTACCATTTGGCTGGCATGGATGCAGTGCTGCGCGGGTGCACTTGAACGGGTGTTCTTACCATTTGGCTGGCATGGATGCAGTGCTGCGCGGGTGCACTTGAACGGGTGTTCTTACCATTTGGCTGGCATGGATGCAGTGCTGCGCGGGTGCACTTGAACGGGTGTTCTTACCATTTGGCTGGCATGGATGCAGTGCTGCGCGGGTGCACTTGAACGGCTTACCATTTGGCTGGCATGGATGCAGTGCTGCGCGGGTGCACTTGACTTGACGGGTGTTCTTACCATTTGGCTGGCATGGATGCAGTGCTGCGCGGGTGCACTTGAGCGGGCGTGCCTATCGTGAGTGTGAATTTCCGTATAATTCCCGCGTTTTACGTGGTAGTGGCCGGACATGCACGAAACCTGTGAAAAACCATATGATTTGCGCGTTTTTGCGGCCATTACAGGGGGGAAAGAACCAAAAAAAGCACGCGTGTACAGGACGACCGAGCCACAAACGCTCAAACAAACAAACAAACAAACAAACAAACAAACAAACAAACAAACAAACAAACAAACAAACAAACAAACAAACAAACACACAAACAAACAAACAAACAAACAAACAAACAAACAAACAAACAAACAAACAAACAAACAAACAAACAAACAAACAAACAAACAAACAAACAACAATTCAAACATCAAGACATGGAGCCGCGCCAGCTCCACACCTGCCGAGCCACTCCAAAGGACGGAGATCACAAAGGTCAGCACCGACATGGGCAGGGGCATAAACCTCAGGTCAAGCTTCAAGATCCTCTGCAAATATGAACCCCCAACATCCATAGAGAGGTCCCTTCTGAGGAACCCCTGTGTTGGGAACCTCAGTTTTGGGTTCATGTGCAAATGATGATTCACCGACTGGAAATAGGGGGTCCCCACATGAGGGGACCTTCACCATGAGTGAGCTCTTTCTTCTACCCCCAGGCGAAGGATAGATTTGTTCACCCAACTGAACGAAGCATAAATCTCTGGCAAGGCCTCTTGCCGATCCATCTGCGTCAACGGATAATAATATATTCTGAAACGGTCCATGCGCTTGAACATCACGGAGACAAGAAGCCTCCGGTCGATTGATTTTTGGGTTGTTTCTGTTCAATTAGGAACCCTTCTGAGTGGAAGAGCGTGGCCTTGAGGATACGCAAAGCGCATGACGTCTGCGAAGCCGAGCCAGTCAAAGTCGGAGAAAACAAGGACAAGCTGAAAGCAATGGACCTCTGTCTCTGTCCATAGAACCCCGGGAAAACACAACACATGTAGGAGTCCCTGGAGGCAGCTGCATGGACTGGAACATTTAGCCATCCGGGCTATGTGATGAGTAGAACTAAATTGAAACCCTTAGCATCCATCTGCTTTCACCCAAACTGAAAATGGGCTTGGGTAAAGCAACAACAAGCCGCAAAGCCTACAATATTGCCAACGCCTGAACTAAGGGATGCCCAAGTACAGGACCTACATCATGAGCTCGTTTTCCCCCCCGTGAGCTAGGCATAGCCAGACGAAGCTGGGCAACTAATGCGAGCCTCGCCGCTTTTTGGCCCCAATGAGATTCGTTTAGCCCATGGGGTACGGTCAAAATCAGAGACGTCCGTGGAAAATCGCATCCCCACCTTTTGACTACTGGATATGTTGAGCAAACCTCAGCCAGGGGTGTTTCCTGAAACAGGGGACCGCTTTAAGACGGTGTTCGAAACGAAATCCGGATCACCTTAGTTTTTACTGGGCCCCTTAAAGTGAACATGTTGAGGGTTGCGCCTGGGGGGTCCTTTCAAATATCATAATCTGGAGAGTACGTCTCGCTGAATCCAGATTTGCGCCCCTAGGCGGATACCCAAAGGGCCTCACAAGACTTCGAGGCGCTCCACCGATTTGGTGCGGATCACGGTGCCCATGGTGACCAGGGGTGATCCGTAGAGCAGCACGTTGACGATGTCGCAGAGCAGCCCGCTGAGGCTGCCTCGGATCCATGTTGTACCGTTGGACTTCCAGGCTCCACAGGGTGGCGACGCCTCTGGCAACCTTTCGGCTATCACCTTGATCCGAACCCGCTTGGTGACATCCCCGAAATCTCACAGGTTTGCTCCAAGTAAGGAGAAAGAGTTGGGCGCTATCTTCTGTGTTAAACAGATCTTAAGTTGCCATGAGAACTCAATGGTTGGAACACGATCTGTTTGAGGGAGCTCGTTTGAGAGTACGGTTCTCCAGATCAATCTGCCGTTAGAAATTGCGCCGTGGGGTTGATTTAGAGACTGCAGCCTTCCGCGGAAGCTCCCCAACCAGAGTGTCTGGATAAATGAGACAATTACACATGCCTTTTTGGTATCCTGTAAAGGGAAGTAAAACAATGTGAGCTATTTAACACCCAACATGTCGTGTTCGTGGCGCGGAAAAGAAATGAAAATGGCAGTCGTCCTCTCTAGCAGACCATCGGCATTGTAGGTTCGAATTTGATCAGCTTGTCAAACGTGCCGGTTGGACACGTGTTGCAAGCGCAGATCTTTCCAAACGGAAGCGCAGGCGTATCTTGCTGCATGTCAATGATTGTGGTCGGAGTCTTCTTTCCCAAATCCCTCCCAATGGCCTTTCTAGGGGGGGGGGGTGAGGTGGGGCTTGGGTTACCTTGATTGTGGATGCCCTTACCATTAAAACGCGGTTCTCGGTTGCAGCTCTGGCACACTTCAAAGGTAGATCGCCCCAATGGAAGGACCAATTCAACTTGGGCGCAACACCTGGCCGGTCAACGAGAGCGTCCTGCAATCCCATGATGGACAGTTGGGTCGTGTCTCCATTTCAATTATGTGGATGGTGCACAGCCACTGGCGTTGATAGCTACAAGAGTTGTTTGTTGGGCTGCCTTTTGCTGCTTTGTGGCTGTGGTTTCTTCCTTGCAGTGATTAAAGTGGTTGTCCATTTAATGGCTGCATTGAGATATGAGAGTTTGACTCTTTGCTAGCTACTGTGATGTTCTGGGCTACATGCGCTGCTGGGTGTCTTACCTCTTTCTGTTTTGACCTGGTAAAGCATCTGTTAGCGCCACCGGACAGGCTAAGCTCTGTTTCAACCAAAGATTGAGTTTTTCCACATGTCATAAACGAGCTCGACAAATTTTGCAAGCAGTACTTGCCTTTCTTAGACAAGGACATGGACTGTCTTGAACGTATGGTGAAACGGTCATTGCACAAGTTGGCAAAAGGCTCAAGCAACATTGCCGTCAATTTCCTGGCACAAAAACAAGGGACCCTCTTTCCAACAATGGAAGTGGACAGCTGCCAGCCTTTTGTTCAACAGGATTGTAGTCGTCCAAAACCCTCCTGCCTACTGCCATGATAGGAAAGAGGGTATTTTTTGACATCCCCCATGATCATCATCTTGCCCTTGCAAGTGCAAACATTCTCCTTCACATTAATATGAAACCTGAATAATTGATCCCTTTGGAGGAATCTCCTCTAAGCAGTACAGGCAAAAGAGTCGACAGCTGAGCTGAGTCGAATGCTTGGGGGTTCCTCACCAGGGTTCCATGTGTTTGCTGTTTTCCCAGTGGGCCTAAACCAAGGCTAGTTTTGTCAAAGGAAACTTACTTGCTGGCTTTATGGCTATGGTGAAGTACTCCAATTCTTATCCATTCGGGTTTGATCATCTTTGGGACCCCTTTTTGGGTTCCTTCCCTGGAAGAATGCGGAGTATCCCGGTATAGCGTGGCGGAACCGCCTTCAAAGAAGGCTATTAGTAGGGCTTCGATTACCATGGTGATCAGGAACAGGTTCACGATGGGGCGGCACCGCTTCCTGCACGCGTGCAAAACGGGGTGTGTCTGAAGATTTCGGGACCCTTCAAATAGGTTCCAAAACAAAGGCCTTCTTTTTGGCTTCCGATGTATGAACCCTCAACAACGACACCTAACTTGAGTTGGGAACACAGAGATATCGAGGTGGAGATGACAAAAGGCCTGGTGTTCCCGACATGTCAAACGGTGTCTTACACATGGCGCCTGTGGGAAGCTGGTGCCTCAGTGTTCGTTGAATTCAGAATTCACCGACCCAACAAAAAAAAGAAGAGATCCTTCGTCATGGGTGACTTTGCTGACCCTCCAGGAAGTGGAGGTTGCCAGAATCTGCCCAGATCAATGCTTGCCAGTGCTCCTGGTTAGAAGTGGTAAGCTTGGATTCTGGTCAATGATTGATTCTCTCTGAAGCCAGGGGAATCTGTCCACCAAACTGCAACCAGAAAAGGGCACCATTTGCACCCAGTCCATCAGCTTTGCAAACTCCGCCGGCCTGCCAAAGTCAAAACGCCTTGAGTCAATGGCTGTCCTTGCCATTGGGTGAGTAGATGGCACAACTCCCATGTTAGCTGCCCACATACAGGGAATTGCAGCGTCTGTTTTCACCCTTATGCATCATTTTGAAGATTTCGCCTGGGATGCAAATCTGTTGGTGGTTTTTGCGGATTGGGCGCGTGAGGGAAAATCACAGCTCCAATGCTTTGGGTGCGTGCGTGAAATTTCGGGTTGAGTCCCCATTCTTTTCTGTCCTACCATCATTTTAGTCAAGGAAGATGTATGAGGTGACCAACTGTTGGCCCAGTGCCTAAAAGGGCACTAGCTTTTCAAGGGGATCCTCTTCAGCTGGTAGGTGGGTGATTTTGCTTCGCTTGCCACTGCCGGGCTCAGAATCGAAAAGGTTGCCGCGAGCGCAGTCAAGGCTCCCTGCGTAAGCCATGAAGACCGCGACGTAGCCCAGCCACATTATGGCGCCCAGCCCGTTCACCTTTGCCGCGAACACGTAGCTGTGTGACTTGCGTGTCTGCTTGATGCTGCTAGCAAACCTCCAGAGTGGGAAGAAAGAACACCAAAAAAAGCAAAGAGGACTCCAAATCAATTTCAACATTGCGGCTTTGTCCCTTCCAAGCTGCGAGGAACAACTGCGCATCATGACTTGTCAAGAACATAGACCGACACGCAAACTTGACAGCATTGGCTCCTGAAACCCTCAAAGGAACCTCGTAGTTATTCAGACCTTAGTATGTGTCAAAGTAGGGGGACCCGAAAAATGGTGGTGTTCTTGTTGGCTTTCCTTCAAAGCCACCCAACAGGGCACCGCTACAAAAATACACCGATAAATTTGAAGTTCTCCGATGTTTGGTCGTTTGTTGCGCTAGTCAGCCTTCTTAGCGCCGTCATTCTCCACGAGCAACACCGCATGCCATCATTTTTGACAGCCACACCGGACCTGCTGAGTGGCAGGCCAACAAATCAATTTGTTTGTTCAAACATTCTGGACGCCAACTAGGCTATGATGACATCGGCACGTTTCAATTCTAGCAAGCTCGCCAGCTCATCTTGGGAGCGTTGATTGTCAAGATGATGCCTGGAAATCCGGGCCAAGGGAGAGGAGCCACATCTGCACCCAAGGCCTGTTCTTGCATTCTTGCAGCCAGCCAGATATGGAGACAAAACCAAAACCGGAAAACACACACACACACACACATTTGCATCCAATGATCAGAGAAACTTTGGCAAAACTCCGCCGGCTCTACGTGCCACAACACTCCTTGAGTCGACCTTGGTCCTGGCGAGCATTAGTCGGAATCCTTGCAACGGTTGTCGAAGTTCCTACTAAGGGGTCCTTGACAGTCCCGAAGTGTTTTGACCATGGCATACGTGCTGACCGTAATCCGCCTCGTCAAAAACAAGTGCGCATGCAGGCAGGGGAATAACTAGTGGTCTGGATCGTCCACGTCACGCGCAAGTGGTAAAAGGAAATAGCCGGTTTGATCCACTGCCCGGCCAATCGCTCTTCAAATTGAGCGGCCAGCAGGTTGGGCGTCAGGTTCTGGGACGTGGCTTCCATGGTGACCACGCACTCAGCCCAAAAAAGGCAGTCAAAGGACACCAAGGTGAAGCTTACCGGGAAGGGGTCGTGTCAATATCACGTGCATACCACAGCAGCAGGTACTTTTCTTGCTTCTCTTTGCAAAAATTGAATGCGTCTCATAAAGGCAACCCCTATGCATGGTTTCCATGTGGCTTCCCTCTAGGGCTCAGACGGGAGGACTCCTGCCTATTTTCTGCCCAAAGGTGGTTGGGTCACTGGGGTTGGAGCAACCTATTGAGAAACTCCCTCGCAAATGGACCATAGACCACTGAAAGTATTGACCGAACCTCTCACTTCAAATGGAAAAAAGCACAACATCCGCCCACAGGAATACTATTGAGCGAGCTTTGGTGTGTGACGACGGACAAAAAACTCGAGACTGCTTCAATGATGAACGATCGACTGACAGATGGAGGGACACACATGCAGAAGATTATCTGATTATCTTCCTTCGACAAACATGGATGCTGGCGATACCCATCCCAAGCGCCACATCGACAAATACAAGTATCCTGACAAAAACAGGAATTGTGTGTGTGTGTGTTCTGGCAAACCATGCTATGCCTTTCGCTTGCAAATTCACCATGCCCGACAAGTCACTCGATTCCATTCGTTGTCACCCTTGGCCATCATGTGCAATGATCGGAGAGGGACAGGTCCATGTTGGGCAATTCTGAACGTTTGCACGTCTCCATTTGTCACATCTCCCTTGCCGTGTTGAGTTCCTTCTTCTCCACCGAGGGGGTTGCAATGACATCATGTGTGCTTCGCTACCAATGGCCTTTGGTGCATGCAGAAGGATCACAGGCGATAGTTGACAAATCATGCAAACAAGCAGCATAGTATGTCCAGATTGAGCAGTTGAAGACGCCCATGACGCACCTGAGCAGCAACACGCGCTTGGCCGCGTGCTTTGGCTCACATGCTTCGAGAGGCTTCGGTTCTTTCTTTTGGAGCTGAGTCACGAGTAAGCCAGTAAGCCCAAGAAGTATCAACACCGAACCCCTCCCCGGAATCCTCCAGGAACCTGTCCCGCCCCAAAGATCCCACAACAAACACGAAAGAATCACCATGAAATGCTGGCTTCCTGCCGGGGAACGGAGTTGCAGCAAACTCTTGCACGTCCTTGGCTTTTGCGATCTTTAGGATGGTCGGCACCGGGCTCAAGAAGTACCTCGAGTGCAATCCGCCTTCCAGTTGACGTGTGCCATCATCAACAGGATAATACATCATTCACACCCCAAAGCTAGTTTCATGTTGGGTTCTCAAGCCAATTCAAAGGGGGTCTTTCAAAGAGGATCCGGATTGGCTCGGGCCATGAACCGGATGTCAATGTACTGAGGCCATACAGCAAAAGGGGGTCATCCTTTATAGAACGGGAGAAGACCCTCTTTGAATCAAAGACCCCCTTTGAATTGGCTTCAGAACCCGACATAAAACCGGCAAGCTTGACATGACTCCCCAGCCAAAGTTGGAACCCCAAAAACAATCCTTGGACTCTCCTTTCGGGAGACCCCAGGACACGCAAAGAATGACAAGGTGGTGACCTTTGGGGATAACCTTGGCTGCTGGTGCAGCCAAATGATGGAAAGGTGTCCTTTTCCCTCAGCCAAGTGACACCATCGTGAACACCATCCTTGGCACGGCCAAAGATTCCGAATTTCGAACGAGTGGTGATGCGAGCCTAGCGCGTAAGAAAAGACCAGGAACGCCATGTAGATAAACACTTCAGTAAATGACAGTCATTCACCAACCGAAACATGAGAGATTCCCCTAAAGAAACGAGCTTCAGTGAGGCGGTCGCAAATAAGTCTTAGGCACAGCCAGAAAACAAGTGTATACTTTTCTTGTATGCACCAAATGCATGTTTACTCGACTTCGCCCTTTCGGTATACGATCACTTGAGCACAGCCAGTGCCTGAAACAACTGCCACCAAGAATCACGCACCTTAAACCAAATCACTTGGGAATGTATGAAAAGCCAATCGGTCTCTCTGCGATTGAGTCCCTTTAACCGCCATCCAAAAGAAATCAAAGACTAAAACAAAGTACTATCAAAAGAAGGCGCGCGATATGGCACTGGAATTTCTGGCTCGGAATGCAGGTCCCGCGCTCCATTCTTCTTCCTGATACATCCGTGAACCCAAAACACAGAATTCCTCAAAAGAAGATTCATCTAACAGCAATGGTCTTTAAAGTTAATCTGCTGGAGTGCAACACCAAAGGCTGTCCTTGATGTGTAAAAGGCACTCTCAATTTTTCAAAGACATAGAAAGGGCCCATCACGATGGCACACGTCCGTGCAATTCAGTTCCGTTTGCTATCGGTCGTTCCGAGGCGACCGTTTACCTTCGCTCGTTGCTTGGGAACCTGCTGCTTGCTCATTTGCTAACTGATTTGTAGTATTAAAAAAAATCCTGTGCTCATTTGCTCCCTAAAACCTAACTAGATTTCGAACCATCACTGGTTCCATCATAGAAAACCAGGACACGGGATATGTGCCATAATCATTGGTCCTCCATGGATGCAAACTGCATCACTCACTACTCATGACTCATGACCACCTGATACTCACTCCCTTTTGCTTGAGGTGCCACTACAAAGACACATTTCCAGCCATCATTCCCCCTCAACACAAACAGGAAAAGCTTACTAATATGTGTTACACATAGGTTCTCTCCAAACTAAAAATCTCAAAAGAAGTGGTTGCGCTTGGGCTTCACATTGGCTGCACCGTTGATATCAACAGTTGCAACTATCTGGTAGATTCAAGGGACCAACCCCCGGAGTCTAAGAGGAATCGTCCTCGAAGGGAGGCGGTGGGGGGGGGGGGTGGCAGGACGACACCTTTTCGGGTTCGTTGTTCATTAACTATCCAGAAGGTCGACTGGTCGCGCAAGTGCCCTGCAACCAACTTGTCTGGAAGCACCACAATTTCCCTTTGGACTGAGAATCACTGCTGTAAAGTCTCATGCAGAACCCATGTCAAGCAACCTATTTAACTGGTGCACCGGCCACTTGAGGGCAATGCTCATCTAGGAGTTGATTCCCCATTCCTTTCAATCATCGTTCTTTTCAAAGGACATCCGCTTTCCCTGGTGTTTGGCTCTTGGAAAGGATCCTGGAAATGGGGAAGTTACTCCTAGAGTCTTGAGTCTACTCTAAAGCAATGGGGCGGTTCCAGCCGTGGCCGAGGATCGCCGCATAGCCGAATGCGGCCCCCCAGAAATCAGTGGATCCGTCGGACATGGTGCCAAAAGCGACACAGCAGACGCTCTTGTGTCTGGGCTGTGCTCTTTGTTGCAGCACAGTGGTCACTTTCGCATCTGGGCTGTGCTTTTTGTTGCTGTGAACTGTCAACCTAATTCTGTCTTCTGTTGATGTGGCTGTGTTGCTCTTAACGAGTGCACAGTGATCTTGCATGCCCAAGAAAACCTGCGATCCTCGGTGGGTAGCAATCTGCATGTGCCCGCGCGGCCACGGAAAAGCCATCCTCTGGATCAACGGCTGACGAGCTTGCCCCAAATCCATTTGCCCCAATGAATTCGCAATTTTTATATTAGGGCATGTCAAAATAGGGGACCCACAAAAGTGTGGTCTCCTATTGAGTTACCTTCAAAACCAGCGTAGAAAATGGGTATCCTCAAAAAAAAGACCCATATTGACCAAAACCTGAAACAAGAATGCAGCCCCAAGAAAATACCTACTTCATACCGAGCTCGCTTTAGTAAACCCAAGATCGAGATAACATAGGCGAAGGAAAGGTAGCCAACAGGTCGACATGCACCTTAAAAAGCGCATTTGGTGAGACCCAGATTAGCCGTGACAGCAGCTCGCGTATCTCCTCACACGTTCAGTAAGCACCAGGAAATTCATAGCTCCGGAACACGGATTCTGTAAACAAGATAATCACACACCCGCCCCACCAATGCTTTTCAACTTCTTCAACCAACAACACTCAGCCGCAATGATCTTTCGGGTATAGCTAGCGTTCTGACCTCGAACGCTGACAAACACCGAACAACTCCCAAAAGAGAACCTCACACAATTACAAGAAGCAAACCACTTCACACAAACAAGCATCTGCAGCTGGCTATCTTGTTTTTTGCAAGTAAGAACTCAGAAGCCGCAGCTTTTGCGGCATCACACGGCGCGCAGCTTCGCCTGCAAAAATGAGAGGAACGTGCCCCAGGTGAAAAATGTGCAAAGCACGCTAGTTTTGGGATAACTTGCCTCTGTACAGGGTTTGAGAACGATGATTGAAACAAATGCGGAATCAACCCCCAGAGCCGTTTGTTGATTTGTTGGTTGAAGTCGAGTCAAGACCAACATGATATTAATAAAAATAGTTGCGTGTTGTTGGTTTCTCACCAAGGGAAGCCCACCAACAAAGAAAACGTGTCATCTGTTTGAAGATACTTCAGTGTCGGAGATGACAGACAAGGGCTGCTACCTCGAAGACATTGTTCTGCGGGAAGTTTAAAGGTGATGATACCACCAAGGGAATTGGACAGGGCCCCCCTTCTTTGGAGAGCTCAGCCACAGAACAGGGCAACAGCCAGAAGCCAAGCCGAAGCACACGTAGAGGACAACCCAGACGCGGCCTGTGCTGAGGCAACAGACACACCAAAGAGAAAAGGCAGCGTTTGCCGGGGACAAACCCAAATCGGGTCAGGCGTGCGGATATCAGTACCGACAGCGCATCAAAAATTCGTCAGAGACCACCAAGGAGCCAGGGCCACGTAGGAGCCGAGACGAAGAAAGCAGAGCACCGCCCAGGGGAGGAGGGTAGTGGACGATGGATCCACACAGGTAGCCCACCCCAGGGCGCACCCAACCCGGAGGCACAATCGCTGAGAGCCAGAGTGCCTCTAAGGTGATGTTTAAATCACCAAACGGGGAAGTATAGGGAGCCCCAGTTTGAAATCACAAGATTGGAAGCGCTGACGGAGCTCTTTTTGCTTTATAAAAGCGTACAGGCCACTCTCCTCTAGTTGTCAAGGACTCCCCCCAAAAGCACACTATGTCTGACGAGCTGTTGAATTTTCAATGGCGATTTTGACGCAAAATCACCATCGAGTTTTCCACAGACCCGCCAAGACTTAGCTAAGACAAATGGACTCCCCACATCAACTTTCGAGAAATGGTAAGTTGCCAGCTCAAGGCACCAAAATGGGAAACCCGGAAACCGCCAAAGCAAATGGAAGGGATGGGTGTACCTCAAAACGCGGGACCCACCCTCCAAATGGCGAATCTCGCTTCTCGGTCTGTTTTAAACCACGCCACGAGGTGTCCGACCCGTTCTTAGAGATTCTCCCCTTGAAGATTGACAAGCCACCCTGAGAATGGGCTCCGAAAAGGTGTTTGTTGTATAAATGAGTTCATCCCCACATCTTGAGGTTTCCTTACGTCCCCTTGAGAAAAAAAACAAAAAAACATCTCCTTGCTAATGCGAAGCTCAATTAACACTATCTCAAGAGGAGCTCAAGACGGATCTCCGATCTTTCGAACCCCCGCGTGGCAAGCAGCTGGTTGTGCCCCATCCCCCCCGGCCCCCCCCACTGTATGGACGCTAGAGACTATTCAAAGGCCAAACCCCATTGCCCAAAAGCAGGCGGTTGCAAGAAAGAGTCGCAACTGCAAGCAAGGTGGTTGCAAGAAAGGTTGCCAAACCAAGGGCCCCCCCAAAAGTTCTTGCAACGAAACTCGGACCGGGGACCCACCCCACCTCCCACTGCAGCAGCTGCCGCGCCAGCTGCGGCGCCTGGCTCTCTGCCTCCATCCGCCCGCACCAGAAGACGCCCATTAGGGGCCGGTCCACCGGGCCGTCCACCCAGCCATCCTGGCCTCAGCAACAAGAAGGATACCTCAGGGACGCAGCTGGGGGATGTTTCTGGTCGCCGTATCCTCCAGGTCAGGTCCAGGGATGGTAAACCCAGTGGATTTCCAAGCAGATGTCGGTTGGAAACCACACGCCATTCCTAGCTGCACTTTGCAGCCATACTGAGCCCAGTGATCCTTTTCAGAAAATGGCAGAAAACCGTTGCAAATGGTGGGTGGCTTGTCCAAAGAAGGAGGATTCATTAAAAAATAATAATGAGAAGTCAACCTTGGAAGAAAATCGAGGAGAGAAAAACATGCGGGAGATGTGTGTTCTCCAAATTGGATGTGGAACCCACAAAATGGTGTGTTGGTCTTTGACTAGCAACAAGTGAGTAAGGAAAGCTGCTACTTCCCCAAAACAAGCTTGACGGTCCAACCAAAGAGTAATCAGCCAAGTTTGAAGAAATGGGCAGTAAGCGAAAGCAGACGGGATCCTGATTTGCTTGCAAGTAGGGTCTGGCAAAATGGGCTGTGCCCCCTGATGTTTCCTTTTGAAACAGCCCAACAAAGGGAGCCCTCAAAAACAGCAAGCCAATAGGTGCAAGACAAACCAGTGACTATTCCGCCAGACATAATATGTGCTCTGGCCAGAAGTTGACGGACACCAGACAACGAACATGATGTCAGCAGACCCCATGATATTTAGGTAAGTGGGAGCTGTTGCATTGCTGAACCCTGACCAACGACCGTTGTTTTATTGCTCAGTCCCCGCTGGAATTAATACAACCTAAATCAAACAACATAAACAAGAGCAGTGACTTTTGGGTTCAAACATCATTTTTCCGCCTGGACATTGAATCTTCATGTTCTGATTCTGTCCCAGTGGATTTTGTGCTGCTGACAAGCCGAATTGTCTCGTCCGTGATGTATCCAATGCGCACCGGCGAAGCAAGACTCACATTCTCATATTTCCAGCCTTTTTCAAGACTTTTCAAAGACTGTGGGTCAGACTTACCCCTTCTGCCTCACCACAAAGAGACTACACATGCTGTTGAGTTTGCAAACCTGCAAGACATGTCTCACATAGCGTTCCGGGCGACAGTGGCCGCATGCTCGAGCTGAGGCCAGTGCAGAAGGTGTGGATGTGCATCCACTTGACCTGGACTTCCCGGATCTTGCGTGCGCTGGCAAACCTTTCGACCCTGCTCTTCAACGTAGTCCAGCCAGTCCACCAAAAATGTACTCCCCAGTTTAACGGAAGGAACCCAAGAAGGGGGGCTCCCGAATGTAGATTCCTCTCATAGCATAACAAAACATGACATGACACAACATGGCACGACACAACATGACCAAACAGCCCGCCGCATTCTTGCCCCCGCGACCAACCCCAAAAAAAAAAAAACGGGGGGGGGGGGGGGGACGCAGGGGCCCGCTCACAAAAAGGCCGAGCCGCGCTTTGGAAGCCAGGGGCGTGGATGCATTGCCTCACTGCGCCGTCTGAAACTCGGCGGAAGGCCAAGAAGCCCTCCAGCAGCGCCTCCTGGACCCCTTGCGTCGGGGGCTTGGAGGGGGCTTGTAATCTTTGGGGCTTTGGGGCTTCACAGCCTCCCCGCCCCTGTGCTTTTTTTCTTGGCTTGGTAGTTGTTGTTTTTTGGGGGGGGTCCCAGCTGGATTTTGTCATGGTTTGTACATGCAAGTCATGGTCTTCTTTTCTGTTTGTTTCTTTTTCTCCTCGGGGTTCCGCCAAGCATATCTTTTGGTCAAGTACAAAGCCACCGTTACCAGCTGTTCTAAATTTGCCCGTAGCCATCGTTTCTCAATGGAGTAAATTGGGTTGCCATCCTGCTTCCCTCTGTTCCATGCACGCCCCAAGAGGAAGCTCACCATCTCTTGGCCTTCCGAAGGGTGATGATTTCCCCAGCAAGCTATGGCAAATCTGCGCCCAGATATGCGGTGGTGAGTTCATGATGGCGTATTTCGGGGCCAGGGTTTCAGAGTTTGGCCGGCCCCTTGTTTAAAGAAATGCTATCATAGAAAGACAAACCTTTGACATACCTGCCTTTGGTTTCAGCACATGCCCAGCCCGATTTTTGAGGCCTCCTTGTCATGGGCATAGTGGGGCTGTAAGGATGCTATCGCTGAAGCCTAAGATCAGACAAGGATAAGCTCCTGGCAAGGCCTTATTCAGGGTTCAATAGGGCAGTGTCCAAAACCCAGTGACTTTGTGTTCTACCAAAACGGATATAAAGACCTTACTATCAGGTAGTAGAGCCACCGACCTACTAAGATTGCCAATCGCTTTGTTGAGCGCTGCTGCAAAGGTGATAGCCCTCCCCATAGGCCCTCGTGGTCCGGGTCCCAGCCAGGGTCCCTGCTTAGGACAAGCTGGACAAAAGGGCCTGGGTGTCCTTGTGGACAAATCAATGGCACTGGCAAGTGATTAGAACCTAAAGCCAAATCTATGTTCAACAAAGCTGACGCTGACCTCTTGAGTTGGCTGGCCAACAAAAGCTTGAGCTCGACCCTTACTAAAACATGAACAAATCTTCCAACAAAAAGATTGAAATTTGCCAATGCGGCAGGCAAGGCCGAGAAAAAGGACACCTATCCTGAGGCAAGGGGATTCTGTTCGTTCGAACGGCTCCTGGATCACCTCCTCTGCGATCGCCCCGCAAGAAGCTACCAGGGATGAGACATTGCCTCGCCACTCGCAAGGAAGCTTGGCCAGGGAACCGCACATGCCATATGTACGCACGTGCTCAACGTATACAAAGACGTACATCATATCGGGTATTTCTAATATATGCAATACTGTATACATATATATATATATATGCACTACAAATGACAATCCATACTTTGTGTGCATCGAGTCATACATGTTTTTGCATATGCCGTTGTCAAAATGGACCTGGTGCAGAATGGCTTCCAAAACGCCTGTTGAAGAATCTACGACCACCTGACGACATGACTGGCGACCCAAACACTCTATGTGCTTTGTCGTTCCCCAACGAGGCAAGAGTAACATTTCACACGGTTGGCATCCACGAACCATGTGAGACTCCAGCAACCCGCTATTCTGTTCAAAGATCGAGACACTGAAGGAGGAGAAACTGTTGAGCCCCAAACTGAGGAACTACGGCATTTCATGAGGGAAAAGGTGGGTATCCGGGGAAGGCCTACCATGTATACACATTTACAAGCCCTGTGTCCGCGGCATGCCAACATGTACTAACCAATCCGGTACATGCCTTTGGCTGTTTCAGAGTCAAACGGCGCCATTCCATTTCCGAGCGGCGGAAGTTCTTGCGCGGGATCGACAGGAAGGCCTCAGCAAACGCTGACGACCACGCTGGACTGGGGGAAGCCCCGTCGACACACATCTGGCTAGGGGAATATGTTGGTGCTTCTCCAAACGGAAAAAAAACGTCTAGGGGTTCAACTAGCTCACCATCGGGACACGGAAAATGGTTGGCCTCTACCCTCTTGAAAGCGGCTGTGCGGTACCTGGATATCCCACTTTCTCTGGGGTTCTTGAGATGGTTTGCGGGTAGTGGAAACACTCTAATAGCGATGTCTGCATGCGCAAGCACCCCTTGATAAACGATGAAGGACATTCTAATCAAGCGCAACCCAAGCAAACTGCCTTGGCAAACTGCCTTGGCAAACTGCCTTGGCAGGCTGCCTTGGCAGGCTGCCTTGGCAAGCTGCCTTGGCAAACTGCCTTGGCAAACTGCCTTGGCAAACTGCCTTGGCAAAATCCCTTGGCAACACTCTAATCGATGCAAAGGCATAGCAGTGAGATGCTGAATCTGAAACAAAAGCAGGCTTGCTTCAAAGACCGAGTTCGCTGTCGATATCTACACACACACACACTTTTCAGCCAACCGAATGCATGCCATGCCTCAACCCTCACTTTTTTACCAATGACTGTTCATCTCTGCATCATGTGCTCGTGAGTCGCCAAGTCATGACGAAATCCTCTCAAAGCAAAGTGTGGAGAAGCCAGCCAGCCTGCGCTGCATGCATGTTACAACCATGTTTAGGTAGTCAAGGCCTGCGCACTGTCCACAAGTCGAAGCATGTGCCGTTCGATACTCCCCTGTAAACTGACATGAAACCCAAAAGGGGAGTGCCCAAAAGAAGCCTCCTCTTACAATGGTGGTTATGGGATTCCATGTCAGTCTGGAGGAGAGTAACGAACATGCAACCAGCCCGTATGCCAAGAGGCAACTGACGACTGGTTGACGCAGTTCACAGCAGCATGCAGATTCTTGAAGGTGGCCGTGCGCCTCGCGTTGGCGCAGGCGCAAAATTCAACTCAACTGCCAGGGTTGCTCCCAGGACTCGATCGGCGCAAGTTGGTCACTTGGATATGCCAAAGGAAAGCAGCCGTTGCAACATCATTTGTGGTTGACCACCTTGGGAACATACGACCGGCAAACTGAACACAGTGCGGGTTGACCTTGTGGTTGAACATACGACCGGCAAACTGAACACAGTGGGGTTGACCTTGTGGTTGAACATACGACCGGCGAACTGATAACAGTGCGGTTGCAGGATCAAAGGACGGCATCGCTGTGCCCAAGCAAGGACTCCTTGTGATCACTGCAAGGCTTCCTGAGGTCGATTCAAAACTCGCCAAATCCCAAAACCTTCGGGTGGCCTTTACCATCCTTTACCTTTGTTGAGTATATATTTCCTGGAAAGCTGCGCCTGTGTTTTGGGCGAAGGCTGGCTGTCAAGCACAAAAAACGTACCTGTTGGGGAGAAGTGGCTCTCCATCCCAGGACATCTTTGCTTCTGTGGCCGCATGTTTGCTCGCTTGCTCAACTTCGGTGCTCCCTTTGGTTGTCTTCCGCTTCGTCTTCCGCACTCCCCCGGGCGTCTTTCCGGCGCGCTTCCGCGCCTGTGGCGCTGCGCCACCTCTGAGTCACAGCCCTGCGGACAGTTGCACTCAGCGCAGGCCCCTGCCATGAAGCCTCGGGCGCCAAAAGCCGCTTTCCATGAAGGACCTTCTGCTTCAAAAGTGGTTCAAGGAAGCTCCCGAAAAATGTGGCCCCAGTTCTTCCATGAATCACGAACTTCTGTTTTTATTGGTTCAAGGGAAGTTCCCAAAAGAAAAATGGGGACACTAAGAATGGCCCACGTCCCATCAGGGCCCGGGGATTTACAAGCCGGCAAAAACCCTTGGTACCTCCTCCTAAGTTGTTGGACCCCCTAGCCATCTCGCGAGAGAAATGAACCTAACGCATCTCGAAATCGGTTGCGGCTTTGCAGCCTCAATGCTGGATTTCTTGCGTTTAAGACCAGCAATGTGCTCCTTAAACCTGTGACCCCATTTACCCCAATCAAGTTGTTAGCTTCCAGACTACAATGGTCAAACCTCGAAAATTCATCCCTTTTTCCCTGCCACAAAACCTAGACCCAACCCAAAATCCCGCTGGGCTGCGGGTCTTGTGAATGTCTTCCTTGACGTTGCTTCAAAATGGGGCACACATTTTGGGTCAGGTAGAGAAAACCCATCTTGTGTCACGTGGAGCCGGAGGTCTGCCGACACAGCCGCCGGAATCAAAGACAGGATTGGGCCAGGGACTTCCGCCACGTAATGTGTTGGCATTTCCGGCCATATGGCCATATGGCCATGGGTCACCAGCCCGTGCCCCCACTGAACATCCCAATCCCCACTAAAATAGACTAAAATGGGTGGTGCACCTACCCCAAAATGGTACCATTGGTTTTGACCCACAGCCATATTGGTTTTCCTATGGATTTAGCAGTTGCCAACAGGAAGGCCTAAGGTACACCGTAGAATGATGCCAAATCGCAGGGCAAAAGCTGACAACCACAGACTGCACTCGCAGGCCGTCCCACAAGGGTAGTATGTGAAAATCTAGATGGCGGCATCCCTTGCACAGTATATACATAGATGGGCATATATCATGTATCGGCGATCAATCAGCTTTTGGGACTCGTCGTCATTTTTGCCCCACCCGCCTCTCAAAACCTCAAAGTCCTGAACCCTGACCCCTCTTTCACGGTCTCCATTGCTATTTGTGGCCCCTAAGAAAGACCTCCAATCATGCCCTTTCCAGGAGATCAAGGCTAAGTGTTGAATATGTCATATCAACCTGCGTAGCTTAGGGGGAAAGCGCTTTCGAGTCTTGGTATGCAAACACATTTGCAATGTTCGCAGGCCGACATGCAGCCTTTGGTGCAGGGCTATTCCTTTGAGGCAACACGTGTTGTTTTGGGTATGCCTGGACTGCTCATGACGAGGTAGACATGTAAGGTCTAGAGTTCCAAAACGGGTACCGCGTTGGTTTGCGGAACCATGTTCTTGTGATCTGCAGACTCGGGACAAAAGCAGGTGTGATGCTGCATATTGTTGAGGATCCCTGAAAAAATACAAGCCATCCCCCTCTTATGTCTCTTCTCCAGCTAGATCAAAGTCTGCGTTGAGTCACACGCTCCGACCTGGCAAAAATCCGTTTTGGCCTGTCAGCCCTGAGCCATGCACATCACGGTGCAGGCAACCCGTCCGCCAAGCCCGAGGAGCTTTGGAGTTGAGACCGTGAGAGTCGGCGAAGCTTCGTTGAGACTTTGACATTTGGAGAGGCTTCCAAAGTTTGACTACTCATGTGCAAGGAGCTCGATGCAGTTTTTGGGTGTAAGAGCTCGGCACATCTTAGCGACGAAGTTTAGTGAAATTGTTCAAGGCACTTGGAGAGAGAGAGAGAGAGAGAGAGAGAGAGAGAGAGAGAGAGAGAGTTGATGCGTTGCTAACGAACTTGCGTTTTGCTAAACAAGTTGGGTTGCGCATGTTGATGTAGGAATTGATGTTCTGAGCAAGTATTGCCAACCCTGCCTTGAACCAAAAGGGCAGC